AGTACAACTTACACACATGTTATGAAGAGTGCGGGAACAACATGCATCATATTTGATGTTATATTCTTGGAATCAAAGTAAGGTAAGTCCATGTCTATTTAAATTTAAATGCCTTTTGTATTAAGTCGTCAACATTATTCTGATCGCATTTGTGACTCGGGTAGTAAAGTTTACAGGCTATTTTTATCGTAGCAGTGCACTCGCTGACAGAGTGATCTCTCGGTGCAAAACTGATCTGTAAACTACGACTAAGCACGAACACATATTAGACTGTATCTTATGTATCTTGTACACAAAAGTATTTGCTTGGTCTGTAGTTGACTAAATAAAGTTCCATGAAGTTTATTATTTTATATTTTGTTTCTATTCTGCAATAAAAATAATATTTAACTCGTTTTCAAGTTTGTATATTCTGATAATTACAAGGGTAACTACATTGGTATAAAAAAGAAAATTTAATTTCGAGTTATCTCACCGTAAAATTGCCATGGTAAAATTATGACAGGTAGCCTACAAAATGGCGGAGATACAAAATGGTGCCTGGTCGTTTCGGTACCTGGACGTTTCGGTACCTGGACGTTTCGGTACTTCAGTTAAAAATGGTCTTAATTTATATCATTATATTTCACTATCAAACATACATTCAATATAATATGAGTCAGGCACGGCCTGGAAAGAGCGAAGCTAGCCCAGTTTTATGTCAGTTGTCACACTGCATTTTTTGCCATCCCCGATCAAGAATTTATTTGATATCATAAACATTGATTTAGGCCTAGAAAAGGGAAAATATTTTTTACCTGATTTTACACGTGTATCCAAGATCTTTCATCAGTCCAGTTGTGGCCAGGTGAACGATTTCACCTCATTCAATAATGTAATTTCTCAGATAAAATATTGTATTGATATAGCATATAATAACTGTGGTCTTTTAATTATTTGACTTCTTTTATATAATTAGTGTTCGTGTAGGTAAAGTTGTCTATTGTAAAGTTATGCAATTAGGGACTATGCATATATTTATGAATTTATTAGTGTGTAACAGGAGAGGGAAAATGCACGGCCAGGCCGGGGTTCGAACCCGGGACCTTTCCGAACTCTAGACGGATGCTCTACCTACTGAGTAGGTTATAATACCTATTAAATGGTCGCGGACGATTGACCCGCTCCAGTACCGCTACACTCCTCTCTCCTTATTTTAAGTTTTCGCCCCCGAAGACATTACATCTAGCAATCCAGGTTCGGGTATCCCCTTGTTAAGCACTCACCTACTGCTTGAAACAAGGTTTGGTCACCACACCAAATGAAGCAGGAGTGTTAAAAATGCACAGCCAGACCGGGGTCCGAACCCGTGAACTTCACTTACCTGAGTATCAGTGTTGTATATGTTCTATGTATAGGTATGGTCATGTAATCTACCTGTATTTTTGGAGGGAAAGTTTTTTTGTGTAAATTGTGTTAGGTAGGAATTTATGTATTGGTGATGTACCTTCAACTATGACTATCTGTATTAAATAAACGAACCCGACCCGGTTGTTCTAGTCATCCTTTAATAGACCCCAGTACAACCGGGTTACACAGTGTTGTGGGACAATGGAGTCCATCCTGTAGGTAGAGTTACCGGTACTTTCACAGCATGTACAACATGGTATTATACATATATATTAATACCATAATGTATGTTATCACATTTGCTGTATAGTTTATTATGTTAGATGCTCCATGGTAGCAGTGATCAGTGGCATAGCTGTGGTCCATGGAAAAAAAGTTAAGTTGAAGATGATTAACTGGTTTTTTTTTCACCTGAAGTTACTGTCCCTTCAACCAAACATTATATCTAGACCTAAACAAACTGCTGCTGCTTGAATTTCACAAATTGTTGTCCATCCTGCATTTTGTACCATTTTTCTCCAGTAAATGGGTCAGGTTTGTGACAGAAGGGTCAAATTTTAGCACAGTATATCTAGAATCTATATTTAAAAAAATTAACAAGACATGACACTTATACTAACATTCACACATACGAGTCATCATCATCATCACCACCACCACCATCATCATCATTCATTATCATCATATTAACACACCGGTTTTGGTAAATTTCTAATAAATTTGTTTTCTGAATTTGGCAGTAGACTCTAGATCTGTTTGATTTCAAGTTTAGGGATAATGTGGGGCTCCTATGTTTTATGCCGACTTTACGAGGTCATTCACGTGTACATGTAGCCCCATCATATGCATGCCAAAAGCTGATCAGTTCATGTTCTGGCCATGGGACAGCAGTTGGTTTCATATGCATTTTACATATATTTGAGTTTTATAAGTTTAAACTTTCTTTTTGATAAAGAGATAAATGTTGCATAGCATGTGTTTTGTAGTGTAAGGCCCATTTGTTTTGTTCCCTGCCTCCTTTAATTTGACAAATTAAAAATAGGGTAGGTACAGTACAGTAAGTAGGGTAAAAAATTATCCTGGAAAAAAAAATATTCTGGAAAAACATTTAATTCATATTTATGTAATTATTTCATTAGCCAAATGTCATTTTTATTTTGTGCTTTTAATTTTGTTAGACTTTTAGTAAAATTAAAAACTGAAATAAAAGTATGTATATGTGCATGCAATGCTAAATCTATCTTGGTAACAAATGGGCACACACATAGCTCTAGGATGGCTCCTGGTTACAATGACAAGAGATGGAGCTACATGTACATGTAGTTTTGGGAGTTGATTTGTTTATAAACAGCTTGCCAAGGTTGTTGGGCAAGTGGATTTGCAATAATCATATGTGAAATTAAGATAAGGATTTTTGAGAAATCACTAGACAGCTGGTGTCAGTGTGTTAATTAGTGACATAAAAACTTAAAGTGGGGGAGGGGGTTAAAATGAGGCAGGAAACAAGATGAAATTCTTTTCCTATTATGCAATATTTATTTATTTTTGCAACTAGATCTATATGTATTACTATTAATTTTTTTCAGGTTAAGGATGACCATGTTGATACCATGTCACCAGATATAAGATAAGCTGAAAACCAACCAACACCAGGATCACCTGTCCATGTCTATTCTGTTCCTCTGGTAAAAAAGGTTGAAGTGCTAAGGGAGCGGTCAAGAAATAAACCAGACATTGTAAGTTCATTGTACATAATTTATATTTATATATACCGTAAATATTCACGTATAGTGCGCACTAGGGGTGTAACGATACGGGTACCTCACGATACAATACGTATCGCAATACAGGGGCCACGATACAATACGTATCGCCATACGGTGTTTCAACTTAGAATGCAATAAACAAAGTAATGATACCTGAATTAAAACAAAATATAAACAATGTTAACCTTTCAAACTTTATCAAACTACAACAATTAACACATATTGGTTCAAATTAAAATTGTAAGTTCTTTTTTAAAAAGATCAATATGTCCACATTTTCAGGTGAAAGGGCAGCACGCTGCGCAGACACTATGTCTCCTGCAGTTGAGAAGACACGTTCACTGGGTACAGAGGTACCCTGAATTGCCAGATATGATCTGGCAAGTCTGGAGAGAATAGGATAATTATCCTGATTCTCTCTCCACCATGCCAGTGGGTTGTCCTTAAGTTGGATTCCTTGTGAGGCTCTGTATTTATGGATCTCATTCTCAGCCCTGGTTCTAATTGGCTTCCCAGGTTCAACATTTACAACCATTATATCCCCAAACAGATCTTCCATGGCAGACTTCAGCTTTTTCCTTTTAGGACTAGATTCAACTGATTCATCTGAATCAGGAGAACCTGAAAAAGAATTGAAAAGCTATAAACATACATGTAAAAAATTAAAATAAACAATTAACATTTAAGCAATTTATAGGTATTTACATGTAAAGTTATAAACTTTAAATGTGTATTATTATATTAGTGTTATAGACTTACAGTGTTTTGCAGGGGTAATACTGAACTATTTTGGGTCAATGAAAAAGTTTTATTTGGTAAGGTCACTAAGATGAGTGTGCAAATGAACAATAAAATTATGACCAAATTTATTAAATTTTATTTTAACCTTTTGTATTGCTAATCCTGTCAGCTTTCATGGCATCATCTGATGTGGATGGACTCTGGTCTGGCTCCATTTTCACTCGAACCTAACAAATTAATTAGAATACAATATTAGTTAAACAAATTCTAAACACTCAGAAAATGCCAGACATGGGATTACTGATAACCTTAATTGTGTTTTTAATAAAAGAAATATTTATTTTATATATTACTTAACTCGATATAGTATGGATAGATTAATTAGATATTGATTATTCAATAATTATGAGCAAACATTATGTCAGATTTAAACTAAACTTCATGTGAATTTATGGTAAATAATTAAAAATACAGTGAAACTGAAATCATGAAATGACAGAAATGTATGAAATTAAGAATTTCACAATGGAATTGTAATTGTTTAAACAATTTTAAAAAGTTGCTTCTATTTATTAATCATTTAAATTCATTACCTTTTTAGTGTTTATAAAAACATTTCCTTGAAAATGATGAATTCTATATTGACAATTTGACACATACATTGTACATGTTGTATATTATTATTATATTTATAAATCAATAATCAGTAACGTACATGTAACTCCAAATATGTTCAACCTACCTTTAAGATGAGTTATGTCTATGTTTTGGATGTTTGGGGTTTTTTTTTTTTGTCCAACGATAAATAGTCACTGTATGACTGTTAAACATCAGAATAAGCAGAAAACTGAAAAAAATTAACACAACACAACCAAGAGGATATAAACAGATCAATAAAGGATGATAAAGGAGAAAGGGCAAAGAATTTTATTTGCTTTATGTTTTTGTCAAAGACATAAAGCAAATAAAATTTTAAGAATCAAAGTGACAAAATGAAACTTGAACCTTAACAATGTTAAATAAAACGTTTTGATATAATGTTAACAGTAGGTCATAATAAATTAATGTCTCAAATATTCCCGTGAATAGAATGTTTGCTATAATCATTGTATCTGTATGTATCATTATGAAAATACTTTTTAATTACCTAATACTGTAATACATGTATACAAAACTTACAAGCAGAGTTACAAGTATAAAATTATAAACAATAGTTTAGACTTTTGACAAACCTCTAAAATACCATAAAGAACTATTTTAAGTTTAATTTGCTAAATTCAACAGATATTCAACTATTAAATCATGCAAAAATACCTCTTCTTCTGATTCTGTCATCATGTCTACAAGATTGCCATAGACTCGATTGGCTTCGACCTGGTCGTGATAGGGCAGGGTCTTGAATCTGGGATCCAGGGCACAGCACATCTCAAGCCATCTGATGATGTCTGGATCAGAATATCTTGACTCGATGTCATTACGTATTTCTGTTTTTACATGGGCAGCAAGACCTGAATCAGACTCATTTTCTCTCAGTTGCCTTAGCAGTCGTTCCTTCATCAGGTGAACTAGAGATATAGTGGGTGATTTTTCCTCACACATGATGGTGGTTATGGTTTTCAAGGGCTTCAACACATCTACCAACTCCTCAGCTAGAGAAATGTCCGTGTCAGATAGGGTTACAACTTCTTTAAGGTTCTTTTTAATGTCTTTCTCCGTTAATGTTGCATATACAGCTGGCTGCTGTTCCAGAAAAGTACTCATCATATCAAAACTGGAATTCCATCTGGTCTTCACATCTTGGACAAGTCTTTTTGCTGGAAGGTTCAATGCTTTCTGTTTATCTTTAAGTTTCTTTGTAGCTGTGGAACTTGAGTGGAAAAATGTGACTATTCGTCTCATTCTACCCAAAAGTCGAGAAACAGAGTTTATCTGCATAGCTTTATGGGCTGCCAAATTTAAGCAGTGGGCGAAACATCTAATGTGTGGTTCAAAACCAGCTAGATTTACACCTTTAACAATATTTGAAGCATTGTCTGTGGCAACAGCAATCCTTTTGTCTGAAAGAACTTCTTCAACTTTTACTGTCCTTTTTAATTTCCACTCCTTCACAGTTTCCTGTAACACATCTGCCAAGTTTTCAGCTGTATGAGACTCAAATAACGGCCTTGTCTGCAGCACATAACATTTCAAATTCCAGTCATTATCAATAAAATGAGCTGTTACAGTGTTGTAACTCTGTGTGGCCTTAGATGTCCATCCATCTGTGGTCAAAGCGATAAAGTCAGCCTGACTAAGTTCATTCTTTACTCTATTGACACTTTCACTATATATTTCAGGAATGATTTTTTCGCTGAAATGGGCTCTCGATGGGATGGAATATTTTGGTTCAAGTGTATTTATCATGTGCTTAAATCCCGAAGTTTCAACAACGCTGAAAGGTCTCATGTCTACTGCAATGAATTGTCCGATGGACTTTGTTATCGCCACGGCCCTTGGTGAAGAAAATGTCATTCTTTTGTGTAATACATCTTGAAGGCGTAGTTGACCAGTAGTACAGCTAGTGTTACTCGATTCCTGTGTTGTTGTTTTCTCTTTCTTTCGTGATAACTCATGAGAAAGACTTTCGTAGATATCCTTGTGATGGCGTTTCAAGTGCGTCGCCATATTTGTTGTGTTCCCACATTTATAAGATACATTCATATCACAGTGGCGACAAGTTGTAAACTCTGTTACTACCTTACCATCTTTATCTTCCTGTCTAAATCCAAAATGCTTCCATATTTTGGATTTAAAAGTCGCCGGTGGAGATTTGAGATCGGTCGCCATTGTGTTAACAACTTTACAGTCAGTAAGAGTAACCTCCCTTGATCGGCGTATCAAAAAATAAAAACCCGTACCATACGCCGTATCGTACGGATATGCCTCGTATCATGAACCGAACCGTGACTTTTTTTGACGATATACCGTGGGACGGTATATCGTTGCAGTCCTAGTGCGCACTCGCGTATAGTGCGCAGGTACTTTTTGGAGATCAGATTTAAAAAAAAAATCTACAGAAAAATGAATTGACTGGTCACTGCGACGAAACATTTGATGTGGTCTGATCCATTGATAATTAGGAAACCACAATGAGCGTGACCCTAACACATGTAATTACCTTAAGTAAACAAATTTACCCAGGTGACCTAACAAGCATGAAAGGCTTGGCTGATTGTATAATTAACGGTTAATGGCAGTTAACACGTTGAGTATGAGGAGACTGATGACACCCGGCTTGGGCTGAACGCGTGCTATTGGTCAGAAAACGATGTTGTTTTAACTGTCTGAACATTTTCAATCCTACCAGGTGGTTTGTTCAGTATAGGCATGATCTTTCATGGTATCTGTGCCCACCGCGGTATCCGAAGGTATTTAATGATAGATTGTTTACACTGACTTCGACATGGGGAAACTGCGAACGCCATTTGACTACGCCGAGAGACTGGAGTTTCGTGCCGCCGGTCGCCACTTCGACATTCCAGAGTGAAATATCAAGGCACGGAAGAAAGAAAAGACAGTCAAAAGTCCCAACCACTGACCAGAAGGGCTAACATAGGTTCGACAGCGAAACACCCAGAGATGGAGAGAGAGAGCTGTTCAACTTTGTATGCGATCGCCGATATCCCGACATCGCTGCCAGTACAACAGAACTGCGCGTGCGGGCCATGCAGATCAAGAGGTCATGGGGTCACCAACTTTGGGCATCGGTGGGATGGGCTGTCTGATTTATGAACAGAACGACAATCGCCTAAAAACTTCCGGATTCATTGAATTCCACAGATACATCATCAAAATGAGGCAGAAATTCAGACACTACTATAGCCCCGACCAATAGTAAGACCGACGGGAAACGAAAAAAATTAGATTCACCGTAATGCTAGCGTGAATGGCAGATGATTAAAACATTCGAAATTTATTTTATTTTATTTTTTTGTTGTTTTTATCTCCAAACTATCATATAAGACCGACGACTTTTACATATAACTATGTGAAGGGAGGTAATCCAATATGGCGGATGCAGAACTCGGGAATGATAACCCCAGGAATGGCATGTACCTGCGTATAGTGCGCACCCCCTTTTTGACACGACAGTTTCAGCTTAAAAAAGTGTGCAATATACACGAATATTTACGGTATATCAATATGCTCTAGGTAATGCAGCAAGTACTGTAAATAATTACTATGTTATGTGTAAAAAAAACAAAAGCTGAAAAATATTAAGCCTTGGCCCCATGGAGGTGTTTATATTCAGAATGTTTACAATATGCTGATGAATACCTTGCTGTTTTATCAGTGTATGTACATGTAAGTAGGAAACGATTTCTAATTTTTGTCTCATTTTTATTCCAGGTGAGAGAGATGGAAGATAGAAAAATGAAAGAAGTTAATGATATGTCACCAGCTGTTAGAGACATTTACAACCAACTGCTGTCCCCAGAATCACACCCAAATGTCAGTTCACCACCTTTGTCCAAGAAATTGAAAATTCTTCATGAGAAAACCAAGAGTGAACCAGACGGAGTGAGTAAAAAAAAAATAAATAAAAATCATGGCGTTACAGACAAATTTGGTGTAAAAAAGCCTGTCATTCATGTTCAGAGATGTAAAATGTACATGATTTGACATTTCATTTAAATTGTTTTTTTTTTAATATGTGCACATTCAGCAGCTGCAGTTCAACTTCAAGTGTAAATTCATTGAACTAAGTTGTAACTGTGTGACTTATGTGGGATTTTATAATTTATGCTCAGTGTACCGGCACTGTTAAGTAAATTTGACATACAAAGAATTTAAAGCACACATGAATTCATTCCAGGATGCATGGGTGACCTATGATACATCATTGTTTTGCTGTTGCATAGATACATATACATGCATCAAAAAATTGAACAGTAAATGTACATGTATTACATCCATGTTACAATGAAATGGCTTTATATCCTTGCAGGTACAAAGACATGGTGTACATGTAAACTCACAGAACCAGAATCCAAAAGATGCTTTGTCTACACTTAAAGGACTTATTGGACCAAGAAAGAAGACAGCGTTCAGAGCTTGCCAGTAGGTTGGAAGAAATCAAGAAAGTGCCCGTTTTCGGAGTAGAGAGATTCAAATACTCGCCATGTGACATACAGTTTTACACTGGTTTGCCAGATTACCTTACATTTTTGGCACTTTGTGATTTCCTACTCCCAGAAAAGCACAAGATTAACTCATTTTATTACCAGCAAAAAGAGACAGACAGTACATATGTTAACAGGAACAGGGGAAGAGACCCAAATTTAAGTGTCCAGGAGCAACTATTTTTGGTTTTGTGTTGCCTTCGTCAGGGATACAGAGAACAAGACCTAGCCCATAGATTCAACATTTCACAATCATGTGTCAGTGTGATTTTTAGTAAATTGATAAAACACATGGGGCATGTTCTCACAACATTGAATATATGGGCTCCAAAAGAAACCATCAACAAAAACATGCCTCAAACTTTCAAAGACTTGAACTATGGAAATACTAGATGTATCATGGATTGCACAGAAATATTCCTGCAGCAACCCTCATCAAATTTGGTTTTGCAAACTGTTTTGTTCAGTTCATATAAAAACCACCACACGGCAAAAGCACTAGTAGCTATAGCTCCCCACGGACCAGTGACATTTGTGTCGGATTTGTATGCTGGATCTGCAAGTGACTTTGATATTACCAAAGATTGTGGATTATTGAATTTGCTGGAACCTGGAGATCATGTGATGGCAGATAAGGGGTTTGAAATCCAACCGTTGCTGGATAATCTCAGAGTCAGAGTTGACCATCCACCTGTGTTAAGAGGTGTTCAGCAGATGTCCGTTGAACAGGAAACCACAACAAGGCGCATAGCTCGACTGAGAATCCACGTGGAAAGGGCAATAGAGCGCATAAAAAATTATCAGATTCTTCAGGAAAGCTTCCAATATAAACAATGGCGTTTATTGAATGACATATGGAAAATTTGTACAATTCTGACTTACTTTCAATCAAAGTTGGTTGAAGAGTATTAATCAATACTTAGTTCTAAGTCGTGTTGATTTCTTGTTGTTTGATATTGTCTGACAGAAGAAACTAAAATTTCAATCCATCTAAAGCTATGTACAGTTAATACATCAATGATCCATTACTTGGAAAATTAGGCAACAAATGAGTTATGACTAAACAATGACTTCTCGTGTATGTTTTAAAATTTTTTACACATCTTCATCCTCCACCTGTCAATCAATACATATAAATATAGTTTAACAAATATCTACAAGTACTTCCTTCATCTTTTGTTGTGGAACTAGCAACTTCATAAAATTCTGCATGTATACCAATATTTGTAATTTTTCATCATTAATGTGCTGTCCAAATGTTTAAATTTTCAGGTATACATGTAGCTCTGCTAACTTACATGTAGACACATGTACACCATACATGTATGTCCATTGTCACCAGTAATTCACATATATCTAGATCTAGACATTTTTTTTCAAATTAAAGTATGTGTATAAATATATATATGCATGCACATTTAATGATGTTCATGTATAGAGTCAGAGTTTCACAGCTACTTTCCTGTAGACCAATTCAGAATTGTCAAATGTATTTGCTTCATTAGAAATAACAAAACCGTTGTAATGAAATTCTGAAGAGTTTTATTTCTATGAAAATATTAAGTCAGTTTCAGGGTATATAATATATTTTCCGAATTTATATTCCTTTATTTGAATGTACAAGAATGTATTATGGTGTAATGAAACATTATGTGCTCCAGCTGGGATTTACACCTACAATGTAAAAGCAGTTAAATTGCATCACCAGGTGCTAAGTATGTTGTTACTTACTACCCGAGTACCCCTAAATTTAGAAAGATATTTATAATAAATTGACTAGAAAAAAATGGTGTAAATTATGTAGCTTCAAATATACACAAAGAAATGGAATGATTAATTTTTATTGACATATACCTGTGAAATATACATTTTATATTTCATTTTCTTACTTGTCTTCAATGAAGTTTCATATTACATCTGACAACTTCAGATCAACGACTTCTACCTGGTTAAATTTCATTTAGAGACTATCGATAACTGATTATATGATAACTTACAAGAATGCGACGCATTTACAACATGTTATCTTCCAAATTCAGCAGCATTCTTGTAAGCATGATTATTGTATTGTCACCCTAAGTGAGTAATATAACAGTAATAGAATAAATGGCATGCAATTAATATCGCAGTCTACAATGCCATACCTAACAGCTGTTTAACAGATATTGTTCTTTCATATTGGAAATTGAAACATTGTGAAACTGAAAAAAAAACATGTAATAGAAGGCAATGGGCATTTGAGACCTGATGTCTTCCTAAGTCCGCTTAGTGATGGTGTTGGCATTTAAAGTGAACAAATTCCAAAGTTCGTCGATGTTTTACTGCTGAAAAAGGAGACCTTTTCTTAATAATTGAAAACTGAACAGCTGTCTACGAAAATATTCAAATCTTCTTTAAATTGGTATTGTTTACACATCCTACTCTGATTCATCCTCATGTCTCCCTAACTCTGCATAATTAAAAAAGTCACTAACAAGTATGTCATCACACATTAATTATTCATACTTGAATCTTAGTAATACGAAATGTTGGATTTTTTCTTTCTGAGAAAATATACACTTAGAAATGGAATGATTAATTTTTATTTGCATATACCTGTGAAATATACATTTTATATTTCATTTTCTTACTTGTCTTCAATGAAGTTTCATATTACATCTGACAACTTCAGATCAACGACTTCTACCTGGTTAAATTTCATTTGGAGACTATCGATAACTGATTATATGATAACTTACAAGAATGCGACGCATTTACAACATGTTATCTTCCAAATTCAGCAGCATTCTTGTAAGCATGATTATTGTATTGTCACCCTAAGTGAGTATTATAACAGTAATAGAATAAATGGCATGCAATTAATATCGCAGTCTACGATGCCATACCTAACAGCTGTTTAACAGATATTGTTCTTTCATATTGGTAATTGAAACATTGTGAAACTGAAAAAAACATGTAATAGAAGGCAATGGGCATTTGAGACCTGATGTCTTCCTAAGTCCGCTTAGTGATGGTGTTGGCATTTAAAGTGAACAAATTCCAAAGTTCGTCGATGTTTTACTGCTGAAAAAGGAGACCTTTTCTTAATAATTGAAAACTGAACAGCTGTCTACGAAAATATTCAAATCTTCTTTAAATTGGTATTGTTTACACATCCTACTCTGATTCATCCTCATGTCTCCCTAACTCTGCATAATTAAAAAAGTCACTAACAAGTATGTCATCGCACATTAATTATTCATACTTGAATCTTAGTAATACGAAATGCTGGATTTTTTCTTTCTGAGAAAATATACACAAAGAAATGGAATGATTAATTTTTATTTGCATATACCTGTGAAATATACATTTTATATTTCATTTTCTTACTTGTCTTCAATGAAGTTTTACATTACATCTGACAACTTCAGATCAACGACTTCTACCTGGTTAAATTTCATTTAGAGACTATCGATAACTGATTATATGATAACTTACAAGAATGCGACGCATTTACAACATTCCATCTTCCCAATTCAGCAGCATTCTTGTAAGCATGATTATTGTATTGTCACCCTAAGTGAGTAATATAACAGTAATAGAATAAATGGCATTCAATTAATATCGCAGTCTACAATGCCATACCTAACAGCTGTTTAACAGATATTGTTCTTTCATATTGGTAATTGAAACATTGTGAAACTGAAAAAAAAACATGTAATATAAGGCAATGAGCATTTGAGACCTGATGTCTTCCTAAGTCCGCTTAGTGATGGTTTTGGCGTTTAAAGTGAACGAATTCCAAAGTTCGTCGATGTTTTACTGCTGAAAAAGGAGACCTTAACTTAATAATTGAAAACTGAACAGCTGTCTACGAAAATGTTCAAATCTTCTTTAAATTGGTATTGCTTACACTCCTTCTCTGATTCATCCTCATGTCTCCCTAACTCTGCATAATTAAAAAAAGTCACTAACAAGTATGTCATCACACATTAATTATTCATACTTGAATCTTAGTAATACGAAATGTTGGATTTTTTCTTTCTGAGAAAATATACACTTAGAAATGGAATGATTAATTTTTATTTGCATATACCTGTGAAATATACATTTTATATTTCATTTTCTTACTTGTCTTCAATGAAGTTTCATATTACATCTGACAACTTCAGATCAACGACTTCTACCTGGTTAAATTTCATTTAGAGACTATCGATAACTGATTATATGATAACTTACAAGAATGCGACGCATTTACAACATGTTATCTTCCAAATTCAGCAGCATTCTTGTAAGCATGATTATTGTATTGTCACCCTAAGTGAGTATTATAACAGTAATAGAATAAATGGCATGCAATTAATATCGCAGTCTACAATGCCATACCTAACAGCTGTTTAACAGATATTGTTCTTTCATATTGGTAATTGAAACATTGTGAAACTGAAAAAAACATGTAATAGAAGGCAATGGGCATTTGAGACCTGATGTCTTCCTAAGTCCGCTTAGTGATGGTGTTGGCATTTAAAGTGAACAAATTCCAAAGTTCGTCGATGTTTTACTGCTGAAAAAGGAGACCTTTTCTTAATAATTGAAAACTGAACAGCTGTCTACGAAAATATTCAAATCTTCTTTAAATTGGTATTGTTTACACATCCTACTCTGATTCATCCTCATGTCTCCCTAACTCTGCATAATTAAAAAAGTCACTAACAAGTATGTCATCGCACATTAATTATTCATACTTGAATCTTAGTAATACGAAATGTTGGATTTTTTCTTTCTGAGAAAATATACACAAAGAAATGGAATGATTAATTTTTATTTGCATATACCTGTGAAATATACATTTTATATTTCATTTTCTTACTTGTCTTCAATGAAGTTTTACATTACATCTGACAACTTCAGATCAACGACTTCTACCTGGTTAAATTTCATTTAGAGACTATCGATAACTGATTATATGATAACTTACAAGAATGCGACGCATTTACAACATGCCATCTTGCCAATTCAGCAGCATTCTTGTAAGCATGATTATTGTATTGTCACCCTAAGTGAGTAATATAACAGTAATAGAATAAATGGCATTCAATTAATATCGCAGTCTACAATGCCATACCTAACAGCTGTTTAACAGATATTGTTCTTTCATATTGGTAATTGAAACATTGTGAAACTGAAAAAAAAAACATGTAATATAAGGCAATGGGCATTTGAGACCTGATGTCTTCCTAAGTCCGCTTAGTGATGGTGTTGGCATTTAAAGTGAACAAATTCCAAAGTTCGTCGATGTTTTACTGCTGAAAAAGGAGACCTTTTCTTAATAATTGAAAACTGAACAGCTGTCTACGAAAATGTTCAAATCTTCTTTAAATTGGTATTGCTTACACCCCTTCTCTGATTCATCCTCATGTCTCCCTAACTCTGCATAATTAAAAAAGTCACTAACAAGTATGTCATCACACATTAATTATTCATACTTGAATCTTAGTAATACGAAATGTTGGATTTTTTCTTTCTGAGAAAATATACACTTAGAAATGGAATGATTAATTTTTATTTGCATATACCTGTGAAATATACATTTTATATTTCATTTTCTTACTTGTCTTCAATGAAGTTTCATATTACATCTGACAACTTCAGATCAACGACTTCTACCTGGTTAAATTTCATTTAGAGACTATCGATAACTGATTATATGATAACTTACAAGAATGCGACGCATTTACAACATGCCATCTTGCCAATTCAGCAGCATTCTTGTAAGCATGATTATTGTATTGTCACCCTAAGTGAGTAATATAACAGTAATAGAATAAATGGCATGCAATTAATATCGCAGTCTACAATGCCATACCTAACAGCTGTTTAACAGATATTGTTCTTTCATATTGGTAATTGAAACATTGTGAAACTGAAAAAAAAACATGTAATAGAAGGCAATGAGCATTTGAGACCTGATGTCTTCCTAAGTCCGCTTAGTGATTGTTTTGGCATTTAAAGTGAACGAATTCCAAAGTTCGTCGATGTTTTACTGCTGAAAAAGGAGACCTTTTCTTAATAATTGAAAACTGAACAGCTGTCTACGAAAATGTTCAAATCTTCTTTAAATTGGTATTGCTTACACATCCTTCTCTGATTCATCCTCATGTCTCCCTAACTCTGCATAATTAAAAAAGTCACTAACAAGTATGTCATCGCACATTAATTATTCATACTTGAATCTTAGTAATACGAAATGTTGGATTTTTTCTTTCTGAGAAAATATACACTTAGAAATGGAATGATTAATTTTTATTTGCATATACCTGTGAAATATACATTTTATATTTCATTTTCTTACTTGTCTTCAATGAAGTTTCATATTACATCTGACAACTTCAGATCAACGACTTCTACCTGGTTAAATTTCATTTAGAGACTATCGATAACTGATTATATGATAACTTACAAGAATGCGACGCATTTACAACATGCCATCTTGCCAATTCAGCAGCATTCTTGTAAGCATGATTATTGTATTGTCACCCTAAGTGAGTAATATAACAGTAATAGAATAAATGGCATTCAATTAATATCGCAGTCTACAATGCCATACCTAACAGCTGTTTAACAGATATTGTTCTTTCATATTGGTAATTGAAACATTGTGAAACTGAAAAAAAAACATGTAATATAAGGCAATGAGCATTTGAGACCTGATGTCTTCCTAAGTCCGCTTAGTGATGGTTTTGGCATTTAAAGTGAACGAATTCCAAAGTTCGTCGATGTTTTACTGCTGAAAAAGGAGACCTTAACTTAATAATTGAAAACTGAACAGCTGTCTACGAAAATGTTCAAATCTTCTTTAAATTGGTATTGCTTA